GGAAGAAAAAAAAAAGAATAAAAACGAAAAAAAAAACAATTTACCTTATAAGTTTCTTTTATCTCTTTAGTTTTACAGTCTACTTATACTTCATTAACTCTAAAAATAGCGTTTATATTGCACCTTCTTAATAAGGACCACTATAAGCCGGGCGGTGGTGGCGCACGCCTTTAATCCCAGCACTCGGGAGGCAGAGGCAGGTGGATCTCTGTGAGTTCGAGACCAGCCTGGTCTACAAGAGCTAGTTCCAGGACAGGCTCCAAAACCACAGAGAAACCCTGTCTCGAAAAACCAAAAAAAAAAAAAAAAAAAAAAAAAAATAAGGACCACTATATTTTAATCTGCATTACTTCATCCACTTAAGAGATAAAAACAAAGGAAATGACTCACTTAAGGTCTCTTAGCAGAGGGGGAATCTTTCAAAAGCTAGTAACACTATAGAAGTGTAGCTACAAACGTTTTGTTCTGTTCACACTCATGAGACAGAATTATCATCCTTAAACTTTGTTGTTATTATTGTTGCTGTTTGGGGTTGTTTTGTTTTCTGGAACAAAATTCATCTGTGTAACAGTCCTAGCTATCCTGTAACTGGCTCTGTAGACCAGACTGGCCTCGTACTCAAGAGATCTGCGCCCCCCATGCTGGGATTAAAAGTGTGGGCCACCACCACCCAGATAATCCTTAAACTTCTTTAAAATTATATTTATTTATGTGCATTGGTGTGGAGTGTGCTTTCCAAAGGTTTGTTCTTGCCTTCCTCTATGAGTCCTAGGGAATGAAATTAGGTAGTCAGGCTTGGTGGCTAGTATCTTTACCCACTGGCTTGTGTCCTTAAACTATTAGCAGCATTTTACTATCTTTTTTCATGGGGGAAACTAGCCACCTCTCTGTCAATCTGCAGCTCTTGTGAGTGCTTCCTAAGGAGTGCCTGTACATCAATTCAATGTGATGCATAATGCAGTTTACATTCTTTCCAGTGAAATCCGCAAACCAGACACAGTCTGGTGAACTCTGACTATTTCCAAAATGTTTCATTGCTATTCCAACTTACTCATAATAAAGCTGATTGTTACAAAGAAGTTTAGAAAACAGGTCCACAAAGCAGGCCCAGTACTGGACCAGTATAAAGTCATGAAAGCCACATAGCAATTAAATTATTCACTATCAGCAACTATAATTTTATTGTCTCTATCAAGAGTTCACGTATTACCTTGCTGAGGATAGTGGCACAGAACCATAATCCCAGCACTTGGAAGGCAGAAGCAAAAGGATTGGGAGTTCAAGGCCAGCTTTGGCTACAAAGTTCCGGGCCAGCCTGGGCTACATAAGACCCCAGAAGAAGGCAAGGAGTTGGTAAAAAGGGTGTGTGTTAAGAAAGAGAGGGGGAACGCCGGGTGATGGTGGCGCACGCCTTTAATCCCAGCACTCGGGAGGCAGAGGCAGGCGGATCTCTGTGAGTTCGAGACCAGCCCGGTCTACAGAGCTAGTTCCAGGACAGGCTCCAAAGCCACAGAGAAACCCTGTCTCGAAAAACCAAAAAGAAAAAAAGAGAGAGGGGGGAGGCAGGTAAAAGGGGAAAGAGAAAGAAAAAAAGGAGAAAATGGAAAGGGGAGGAAGAACGAGAGCACTCAACGTATTTTATTAAAGTCGGAGTCCTATGCAGAAGGGCAGAGACATGCAAGCACCTTTGGCAGGCCCAGGCCTCAAGGAGGAATAAAAGTCACAAAGTGAGGAATTGAATTTTGAAACCTTAACTATTCTGCTACTACCATCTTTCCCCTCCAACCATCTCCTTACTAGGGATAGAACTCAACAAGGTGTGTACTATAGTAAACTATAGGTGTACTCTCCACTATAACTAGCTTTAATTTCTCTAAATGTATAAAATAAGCACAAAATAATGGGATGGGGGAAGTAGCTTAATGGCAGAGCAGTTGCCTAGCATGAGCCAAGCTTGGCTTTGAGCCCGAGCACTGTAAAAAGAAACAGAAAAGGGTATATAGTGGCTCAGACCTGTAACCCCAGCACTCAAGAGGCTGCCAAGACTGCCATGAGTCTCACCAAGTGCAAGAGAGAGAGAAAAAAAAAGCATCAAAATCGAAGTAAAAGGCTAACAATTAAGAACTCAAGATGACACAAAGTCAGTTTCCTCTTTTTAATGCAGCGCAATCTAGAACAGCACATAAGTCATCTTGTCAACCATTAGGTACCAAACTCACACAAGCAATATGATCCCAAATATCTGAGCCCAAAAGAGGACTCACAAAAATGTGGAATATTTTATGCTCTAGACTTTCAAAATACCATTAATTTAACCAGTTTTCCTTCAATCATGTTATTTTGAAGTCATTACTAAATGTGTTTTCAACTGATTTCTGGAAACTATAATTGAAATGTAGTGAACATAGAAAGCTAGATAGATGCTCCTGGATTTTAAAGGTATTCTGATCTGTCTATTGGTGCTAGACTTCTTCAGTAACCAAGTACTCGAGCTATCTACTGCACTAAAATAAACACCTACAGTTCATGGGATAGATTGCCTAGTGGTGCTAACAAAGTTAACAGCTTTGAGGAAAAAAAAATCCTTAAAAACAATTTTAAAATTGATCATGACTACTACATTTTTTTATTACTAAATTTCTAAGAATTAAATCCCAACTTCCTATGTCCTCAGTGGGGTTGACACCTCTTTTATTTAACAGCACATTTTATCACACAAACTCTAAACCACCCATCAGGGCTTCATGGTTCTCACTAAGCTTCTGCTCTACCACTGAGATGCAACCCAGCGCCCACAACACTTTTTAAGTTATGAGCAAAACCAGCAAGTAAATGTGGAACAGAGCCTTTCTCTAGTCACAGACTGAAGACCATGCCGTGGGTTACACTGTATTTCTCCAAACTCTTTTGAAGAAGACATTTTGATTGTCTTAAGTGATGTGTTTCAATGTGAAACACTGACTGGTCACACTGAAAGCAGACATAACTGTTTAAGAGGCTGGAACATGCCTGGTGGTGGTGGCACACACCTTTAATCTCAGTTCTCAGGAGACAGAGGCAGGAGGAACTAACTCTTGTGAGTTCAAGGCCTGCCTGGCCTACAGAGCAGAGTTCCAGGACAGGCTCCAAAACTACACAGAGAAACCCTGTCTTTAAAAAAAAAAAAAAAAAGAAAAGAAAACTTTGCCAAAAACAGAGGTCAGCAAGAAGGCTCAGTCAAACGCATTTGATCATACATGCCTGACGATGTTAGTTAACCTTCCAGTACCCATGTAAAGGAAGGAGAGAAGTCACTCTACAAAGTTGTACTCTGACCACCAAATGCCCACTGTGGTGTGCAGGCACACACACACACACATTCACAATTATACATAAGTAACAATTTTTAAAAGCTATTTTGTCAAAATAACCCACTGTAAAAGTTGCCCAAACTGTTGTAACCAACCATTTGATGCTGAAAAGGAAAAGTTCCTCAGCACCTAACGATCCCACAAGTTTCAGAATCCCTTCAAACACACACACACCCCAGAAACTACCAGAGTTTGTTTTTCCCCTAATTTTCAACAAGTCCAGTTCTGCACATTGTGCAGAGGCCAGCAGACATGAGACTACCTCTGTATTTATTTTATGCTACTATACTTCCATTTTAAAACGTACACCTCAACTCCCTGGATAACATCATCCACAGAAACCATGAGGCTATCCAACAGACTTTCAGTATCACCATTTATTATTTATAGTATAAATGGGGGAAGTGGCTCTGATGTCACCAACCCTACCCAGTGGAATCACTGACTCAATAAGCATTTTCACGCTGTAGAGAATCTCAAGAGGCAAAACCTTTTGTTAAATTCTGTAGATCTCTCACCTTTCCTCGCTACCATGGGGCAGATACTAGTTGTTACTGTATAAGCAGAGATACAAAGAAACTATCAACGCTTTCACAGGCAGAAGCCCTTTGTATGTCCGTTTGCAAAGGCTGATTTCCTCCCAACTCTCCTGAGCCCACTATAATTTCCCTCACGTTTAAACTGGCAGGTAAAACCAGCTGTATTTTATTTCTTCCACCAATGAGCAAATTCTTCACTTTTCCCAGCCACTCATTCATAGTCCTATTTCCAAAAACACTTCTGGCACCAAGTCTGAGGTCAGAAAGGGGTTAGGGGTGTCCGGGGAGACCTGATCAGTCTGGCTACCAATGGTTTCTAACAGTAAAAGGGATCGTTGCTTCTCTGTGGGCCAAGAATTCCCCTCTTTTCTTTTTAAGAGCGGGTGGCGACCCTTCCCCCTCCCCTCTTATTTCCCCGAATGATAAAGTTATGGTTTCCCTTTCCTAGGGGATGGAATCCAGAGTACCTGGGGCCTTGCTATACAAACATCCTTCACGGCAGGGTAAGAAACCCTTTGTCCAAGAAGCCTGACACCACAGGGGCCCAGGAAAGAGTCTCCTTATCCCACACAGCCTCAGAATCGAGGGCACTCCCAACATCCCAGCCCTACGGGACCTATCTTGGCATCCACACAGCCGTAGCTTGGGGAGAAGGTGCTGAGAGCCCCCTAAACCTCCCCCCCCCCGCCCCCCGTACATAGGTTACGGAGGCCGAAGCGGCCCCAACTGGTCTCGGACTCCCTCCCACCACCATCACCCTCGGCTTGAGCGCGGCTGGGAAGCGCGATGAGGGCCTTCCCGGAGGAATGGGAAGGGAAAAGAAATCCCCTTCTAAAACGAGAGTGCGATGGCAAGGCGAGAGTGAGCGGAGGCTCCTGGAGGAGCGAGGCAGGGGTGCCCGAGCCCGGTCAGAGCCCAGCAGGGAGGGGGGGCCCGGGGAGCGGAGGCCCGGACGGACCGGGAGCTCGAGGCGTCAGCAACGAGCCACGGCAGGGGACCGGCAGGGCCCGGGCGGCGGGGAGCGGGGCTAGCCTGGCGCGGACGCCGAGGTGGGCAGGCCCCCGGGCCGCCGGCCGGCCGGAAGAACGGAGGGCCAGCGGGCCGCACTCACCATGAGCTCGATGGTCTTGTCCTCAATCACCGAGTCGGGCTCCATGGCGGCCCCGGCGGCCCCGCCTCGCTCTCCCCGCTCAGCAGCGAACGGCCCAGGCGGAGGAGGCGGTGGCAGCGGCGGCGGAGGCGGCTCTCGCACCCACTCTAGCTGCCAGCCCGCCGGGCCGCCGGCAGCTCCGCCCTCCCCCTCTGTGGACGCAGGACGCACAGCAGGGACTACAACTCCCGGCAACCCCCGCGGCTCGCGCGGCCTTGTGGGAGCAAGAAGCCGCCAGACCAACTCTGCCGAAGGTTCGCCACTGGAGAGAGTGCGCATCGAGGAGCGAAGGGCTGTAAGTACGGGACGAGCAGACCTGGGGAATCTAGGACTTGCTCGAGGTAGGGCCTCGTGAATGCCGTGACTACTCGTCCCATAAAGCCCCGCGCGCGAAGTCTCCTTCCGGCTGGCCGTTCCTGACTTCCTGGCAGCCTGGGCTGCCCGGACCCGGACGGAAACTCGGAGGCAACTTCTCACTTGTCTGAGATCTTTGCGGTGCGTCCGATTTCCGCACATGCGCCGTGGGTGTCTGCAGTGCCCACTCGTCGCCTAGGTGGCTGTGCCGTCACTCCGTGTGTGTTGCTTTTGGTAGAGACAGGTGGTGGAGACAGTTGGGTCCAAGGTGCACTAGGAAGTGCGGGGAGGGGGCCCGAGAGCCCGAGGACGCAGCCAAGGGAAGATGGACATCGCAAGAGTTTGGAGACTGCGTTAGGAAACAGGTGTATGAAGATCCGCTACACTGACCGGGAAGAGCTGAACCGTGAGAAGGAAGCTATTCGTTCTGGAAAGGTTTATTTTTAAGCATTCAGTTTCTGCTGAGTACTGCCCTAAGCACTGGGAATCTACTTTGAAAGTAACAGCAGAGACTCCCCTGTTCTCACGAAGCTTAATTCTTTTTTTTTTCCCCGAGACAGGGTTTCTCAGTGTAGATTTGGAGCCTGTCCTGGAACTAGCTCTTGTAGACTAGACTGGCCTCCAACTCACAGAGATCCTCCTGCCTCTGCCTCCCGAGTGCTGGGATTAAAGGCGTGCGCCACCACCGTCCTGCCGAAGCCTAATTCTAATGGAAAGACAGCAGACATTAACCAAGAGTTAGAGCTGCGAAGAAGGAACACAGCTGGAGACTTCCAGTGAACCCCGTTGTGACTTCTCCAAGTTTGTCAGTACCCTCAAACCAAAATCCCCTAGGAACACAATGATAGTTGAACAAGGTGGGTTTATTTATAACTGAAGCAAAAGAGAACTTACATCATTGAACTGTGGACGTCTCAGTAAGAGATCTTAGGTAATGGCGAAGAGGATTGAAGAGGCTCTGGAGCAGGAACTGTCAGGAAGTGGGAGTAGTTCTAAGATTGGACACCTCTGTCTTATCTGGGGGAAGTTAGATTGAAGCTAATGCAGCAATTGGTGACAGCCCCTCATGTTGACCAGATTCAAGTGTTTAATCTTTTTGTAGCTGTGTGTATGGCTTGGGCAATGCTCACGTTTTATCTGTGTACACAAATGATTATGGAGTGGATGCTCTTGTTTTTGTCTTGATCCATAAGATAAGGTCACAGAATAGCCTTGTGTGATGTTGGTGGTCTGTGAAGTTGTTTGTGTTTTACAGGAGACCTAGATGTAAGGGCCAGGCTCTGGCTATTATCGAGGGCCTGGATGATTGTACCCAGCCCACTTCTCAATGGCAGAGACTGCTTTTCCGTTTCTCAAGTGTTTTTTTTTAATCCTCTGCCCCAGTGCAGTGGATGACTTTCAAACTCTTTCCATTTCCAAAGATCAAGGTACTGCAGTTATAAGGGTGCATCCAAATCACAGTGTAAATTCCCTGCAGTTAGAGTTTGCGATTTTATAGTCTTTATCTGGCGGCTTTCACCAAGAGAATGAAAGAAAAGCAACTGAGAAAAACTCAGAATTAGAGTTACTGCCATTACCTTGCTGTCTGGATTTCACCAGACAGGAGGGTAGGTTAAATGACCTCTGTTTCAGTTACCTATTGCTACATAACAAACCGTGCCAAGGCTTGGTAGCTTAGAATAACAATGGTTTATTATTTCCTACAATTGTGTAGGTTAGCCAGGCTCATCTGGACCAATGTGATATAAGCTGAGGTTACACATGGGGCTGTAATCCACTGGGAACACATTCAAAATGATTTCTCATCCTCTGGGGCCTGTCTTTTCCACTGGCTTCTTATCATTCAAGCCTCTGGAGGGTGGCTCGAAGAAGGACAAGACCAATCAACAGATGCTTACCAAGCTCCAATTGCCCCACTGACCAAATCAAGTCATATGTCCATAGTGAGTGTGGGAAGTTCTATGGATCCTGAAAGATTAGTTCATTGGAGCTCATCAATATAACAGCCAGCCGAAGGACCCAGCATCTGTCATACAGTATAACATGTAGAAGTCATGTGAGTATGATCGTCCCATGTGTATGTTTAGCCTACACCACCATCTTCATTGTTTTAAAATTGGTTTGTCAGAGCCGGGCCTGCTGGTACATAACTTTAATCTCAGCACTCTGTAGGCAGAAGCAGGAGGATCTCTATGAATTCTTAGCCAACCTGGTCTACAAAGCAAGTTCCAGTCCCTGTCTCAAACAAAACAAAAGAAAAAAAAAAGGGTGGCCTTTCTCTAATCTGAACGCCCTCTGTCAAAATCAATCAGTTAAAAGTTTCACATTTTAAACCAGGCACACGCCTTTAATCCCAGCACTCAGGAGGCAGAGGCAGGCAGATCTCTGTGAGTTCAAGGCCAGCCTGGTCTACAAGAGCTAGTTCCAGAACAGGCTCCAAAGCTACAGAGAAACGCTGTCTACAAAAACAAAAATTTTACATTTTAGGAGGACTAGAGTGATGGGCTCGGTGGCTGAGAATGCTTTCTGCTCTTACAGAAGACCTGGGTTCAGGTCCCAGCACCCACAATGGGTGGCTCACTGGCACTCCAGTTCTGAGAGAACTGACGCCCTCTTTTACAATCCACTAACTACACTCAATCTTACGATTTTACCAGTAAAGACTGGGGAATCAGGTGCTGGGGTCAAAGCCTGCTAGCTCAGAGAGGCAGAGAAGCAACCAGCTGACCTTCCTTTTTATCCAGCATCTCAGACAGGGAGCTTCTGCTGTCCCAAACCAAAAAAGTCGCCAGACTCAAAGTCCCTCCTCACTACTTCCTGTATGTTTCTCTGTTTGTCTTCTGGACTCCCTCTTTCTCTGTATGGCTACTTCCTGTCTACTAGTTGCTGACTCCACCTCTTGACCCAAGATTGATTTTATTTAATTAACAAAATCTCAGGGTTCACAGTGTCATCAAATAGTCTGCAACATACAGTGATTCAGTAGCAGCTACCTTCCTTAACAAAGTGTGCCTTTGAATAAATAATGTCCACAGTCACCATTACTCCTGTAGTCTGTTACCCGTGTCACCGTCCATTCTCTGTATTAGAGTATCTGACAAGAAAGAAAGAAATTGAAGCTGGGCAGTGGTGCACACCTTTAGTCCCAGCACTTGGGAGGCAAAGGCCTGAGGATCTCTGGGTTTCAAGGCCAGCCTGGTCTACATAGTGAGTTCCAGGCCAACCAGGAATACATGAAGAAGCCTTGTCTTGAAAAAGAAATAGTAAAACAAAAGGAGAAAAAAGAAAGTAAACTGATTAAATTCATAGCAAGAACATGATGCCAGGATCTGCTAGGCATAGGTGAGAGCCTTCTATTGGGCCATGGCAAACTGGTCATCACATGGCAAGACAGAGCAAGCTAACCAGAGAAAACTCATTTCCATCGCCAAGCGACTCCCTTATTAGCCCATTAATCTATGAAGGGGTTAAAGAATTTATGAGAGGAAAAGCCCTCACAACACAAACCCCTCTTAACTCTCACTATGGGGATTCCATTTCAACCAGAGCTTTGGTGGGACATTCACATCATAGCAATCTGCATGCTTCTCATTTGAATACTAAATCCCTATAGATACCTGAGTTTGCAGCCCCTGGCATCAGAAAACCTCAAAGGTTTAATCATTGCCTCCTGAAAAGAAAAAGAAAACTAACATTAGCTCAAATTCTAAAAGCTCAAAGGAATTAAAATTCATGTTTATGACAGAAGTCTTACGTAAACTGGGCCAAGGCTTATATCCTCTGGCCTCTTGGACAAGAACCTGGGTGTGCAGGTATTCTTGTTGCTTCAGGCTTGATGCCCTTGATATCAGCTCTGATCATAGACAAAGGCAGAAAGGCTTAAGGGAGTTTCTCCCCAGAGTTTCAGACAGCTCTGGGCCAAGGGTTGCAAGGCATTCTGACAGTGAAGAAGTTGGTGCAGATCTATGACCCTCTCTGTGTGACACAGGCCCCAGGAGATGTCATATTGCCATGGCAGAAGGTGCATATATCACACAGTGTAAGGTAACAGCCAAGGGTCTGGCTTCACATTCCATAGTAAAACGTGTTCATATACAACATGTATGTATGCATGTTGGCAGTCAGCTCCAAACCCACCCTGCCTAGCATGCTTTGAGAGACTGTTTGACTTCATCAGCGAAGCTTGAGCACAGCAGTCCTGCCTCCACTGTATCTTCTTTCCTTATTGCTTTGGTGGCCCAAGCAGCAAATGACCCTCAGGCTGTCTCGCGTGTATTCCCCCCACCCCGTGTGTGTATGTGTGTGTGTATGTGTGTGTGTGTGTGTGTGTATTGTCTGTCTCACGTGTGTTCATTCTGTGTGTGTGTGTCTTGTCTCTGTCTTGCATATGTTCATGCTCTGTGTCTGTCTGTCTCACACGTGCGTTCTCTATCTTTTATCTGTCTGACGTGTTTTTATTCTGTGAGTGCGTGTGTCTAGTCTGTCTCACGTGTTCACCCTCTGTGTGACTGCCTCACATACGTTCATTCTCTCTCCCTCTTCCCCCCCCTCTCCCCTCTTCCCTTCCTCTTTTCTTCTCCCCCAATCCCTTTTTCATTATTAGCACCATGACCCCTAACTGAGGTTATCTGCCCAGTGGCAACTCAGTAGGGTACCAGCTTCCCAGCCCCAACTTGTATTCCTTCAACAAACTTGAGCAGAACTTGCCACTCCTGGGTTCCTGACCTTCAGAATCTAGTAAGGTCATGTTTGTTCTCTCCAAGTTTGTTATCTCTGAAGTAAATGTTAAGTGGCCACAGATAGCTGGGACTTGGGGGGCTAGCTCATCTAAAACAGTGAACTCCATGAGATCACTTTGAATCAAAATAACACAAACTCCTGAGAGAGAATATATGTCTTATCTATCTATCTATCTATCTGTCAGTTGTGTGTTATATCCACATGTGTACAAGTGCACACATGTACACGTGGAAGAGGTCACATGTCTTCCTTTCTCCCCATTTTGGTGGAGGGTTGGTTTTTCAAGACAGGGTTTCTCTGTGTAACAACTCTGGCTGTCCTAGAACTCACTTTGTAGACC